CCATCGTGTGGTTATTCCAAGAAAAATGTATGTCTGGGTTCAAATATTTAACACCTGCTTAGCCCAGGTGCGGGCAGCACTTGGCAAAACGCTGCTTTGTTCTTCCTCACACCCGTGGTGCAAAGCCAGGAGATGTCCCAACCACCCCCAGCTCCTTGCCAAGCCCCTCTCATCGTTCCTGGGGTATGGCATGATGGCAGGACCCTGACCCCTTGTCCCCCTCGAGCTGGGGGGAGCGTTTGCACCAGTTTACACTGAATTTCACTGAATTTTTAGTTGGAAGGGACCATAGAGATCATCTAGTCCAACTCCCCTGCTGAAGCAGGATTGCCTAGAGCTTGTCATAGAGTCATAGAGTTGTCCAGGCCAGAAGGGACCTCCGAAGGTCATCTAGTCTGACCTCCCCACAGTCAGCAGGGACACCCCCAACTAGACCAGGCTGCCCAGGGCCTCGTCGAACCTCACCTTGAATATCTCCAGGGAAGGGGCCTCAACCACCTCCCTGGGCAACCTGTTCCAGTGCTCCACCACCCTCACAGTGAAGAACCCTCTCCTAATCTCCAAGAGCATGCTTGGAGAGCTTGGAGAGCTCCAAGAGATGCTCCAAGAGCATCTCCTCTTGTCAGAGCATGTTACTCAGGAGCATCCAGGCAGGTCTTGAAAATCTCCAAAGAAGGGGACTCCACACCCTCCCTGGGCAGCCTGTTCCAGGGCTCTGCCACCCTCACTGTGAAGAAGTTTCTCCTCATATTTGAGTGGAACCTCTTATGTTCCAACTTGTGCCCGTTGCCCCTCGTCCTCTCACTGGCAACCACTGAAAAGAGTCCGGCTCCCTCCTCCTTCAACCCACCCTTCAGATACTTATAAGCATTGATAAGGTCTCCCCTCAGCCTTCTCCAGACTAAAGAGCCCCAGCTCTCTCAGCCTTTCTAAGCTGAGCACCTTTTGTGCCCCCCCTGCACTCTATGGGGGGGGCAGGCTGTGCTTGGCAGCGCTGGAAGGACTCTCTGAAAAGCACCACCGGAGCCAAAACGAGCCTGGCTGTTAATTGAGCAAGTCTCCGGGCTCTAGGGGCCTGGAAAGGGGATGTGGGAACACAGTTCAGATGTACCATAAATTCAGATCTGGCCATGCTTCCTCTAAAGCCCGAGCAAGGGGGAGGTGGCTGCCGAGCCCCTGGGAGCTGTGGCCGTGCCTCCGGGGAAGGTGGCAGCTCAGGGTTCGACTGTTCACAGCTGGGAAAAAAAAACCACAAAACACTAAAAAAAGGTTGGTTTTGCCGCGTAGTTTGGACACGGTTGCAAGAGGAAACCCTCATCTTGCAAAGCATTTCACAGCCTGGTCAAACCCCCCGGCAGAGAGGACACACACGCACAGCCCAGGTCCCCTCCTACGAGAAATTAGAGCCTGAAGCTGTGTCCAGAAGGTGATGGGTTTATTGCACCCCAAGAAAGGGCTTGGGACACACGTGGTGCAGCAAGATATTAAAATTTGCAGGTCTGGCTGCCACCAGATGGAGCTAAAAATGAAGCAGGAGGAGCAGGGTGTAGTGGGGTGGTGGGGCTGGCGTGGGGAGCAGTGGGGCATGGCTGGGGTCCCTCTTGGAGCTGGTGGGGCTGGCAGGGCTGTAGCATCACACACACAGCCCCAAACCTGCCCAGGGTTTGACACGAGGGAGGACACAGGACACGCTGGCACTGCCCACAGCAGCTTTTCCTTCCTCCTCCACAACTCCATTAAAAGCTGATCTGCTGCTTGGGTTTGCCCTCCAGCATGCTCTGCTGGCGTCTGGCATTTCTCTGAGTCACTACTTGCTTGCTAAAAGCAGACAGAGTTTGGGGGGGAGCCCAGATTTTCCCCTCTTCTCCCAGGATCTCAGCCTGGGGAGGGCACTGCGGCACCCCCAGGACTGGGTTCGCTACAGGGACCCTGCTCTTCCCAAAATCTATCCCACAAAAGCAGAGCTGTGGGGTGCCCACTCCTTTCCCGACCCCTGGGAGCTGGGCATTGCAAACACATGTTGTTAAAGGCATTTGCTTGCTCTGGTTTCAGCCTGGCACGTGCCCCGTTTAGGGATTCAGTTTGACCCAGTGGCATTTGGGAACAGCATCAGGCCAACGCAACCGGTCGGGCTGCAAAGCTTGTTCCTATTTTTAAGGTCCCACGCTGGCCTTTGAAGGGTGAGGGGGAAGAAAAACTGCTGGAGGGGACAAAAAAATAAATAAAAAAAATAGAAATTCCGCAAGCAGCAAGTGGCAGGCAATGAAAGGAAATATTTCTCCCGGCGGGGCTGCTGCAAGAGCTCCTGCGAGGCAGCGGGGTGGCACGAGGGACACTGCAAGGGCCGAGGGTGAACAAAAAGCACCAGCTGCTTTTTGCTCAAATACCTGAGTTAATCAACAGTCAAAACAGGGCACCAGGAGGCAGCCGGGGAGCAGAGGAGGGGACATCTGTCCCTGCAGGGGTTGGTGCCATGGTAGGGGGGTGTTTGCCCCTCCCGGTGGGAAGGGGATGCTTAGAGGATATATAAATATATATATATATACACACACCATATATATATGGTATATAAAGAGCCCCTTTGCTTGTCTCACTTCTGTTGCCCAGTGAACCCCCTGCTATCCCACCACAGCAGGGCAGCATGGTGACCTGAGACATGGGAAATCAGCTGGAATCATAGAAATATTCAGGTTGGAAAAGACCTGTAGGATCCTGGCGTTAACCCAGCACTGCCAAGTCCACCACTAACCCATGTCCCTCCGTGCCACGTCTACACGTCTTTTAAACACTTCCAGGGATGGTGACTCAGGCGCTCCCTGGGCAGCCTGTTCCACTGCTTGACAACCCTTTCAGTGAAGAAATTTTTCCAAATATCCAACCTAAACCTCCCCTGGCACATCTCGAGGCCATTTTCTCTCATTCTACCACTTGTTTCTCGGGAAAAGAGACCAACCCCCACAGCGGCAGGGAGGGAAACAACTAAAATAAATAACTAAAAGAAAAGTGCTGGGCTGTCAAGTGCTTTTCCTTAACACATCTGAGTGCTGTGAAGCGGCAAAAAGGTCCCCAAAGCAGCAGGCACCCCATGCAATCAAGGCGATGCCAAGGTCTTTGCTCTCAGCAATGCCATGAAGATGCCCGAGAGCACAATTGGGAAGGTGAGGGGGGAGCTCTCCCTGTTTTTTCACCCCCATTCAAAAACTAGGGACACAGAACTGGTGCTTTTTCTCTGCCACAGCCTCCCCCCGGGGGTGCCTGGGGACACTCGCTGGGTTTGACCCTCCACGATCACGAGACCAACAAGCAAATACAGCAATATTGACTTTACCTTTGTGTGTCCACGCTTCAATCTGCAGCCCCTGAGGCTTGGAAAAAAAAAGTATTTGTCTCTCCAAAACCTGCAGCTTCTGCTGAGAAGCAGCAGCAGGTGAGACCCCGCTGCTCCCCCGAGGCATCACGGGGGCAAGCAGCAGCCAAAGGGGTTTGCCCGGGCATGGGAAGACCCTGGGGCAACACTTGCTGGGATGAGCTGGTCCCACAGCCACCCTTCCAGCTCACCAGCCAGACAGCACGCCTGGTCTTGCCTTAGAAAGGAATTTATTCCACCATCACCACCCCCCTCCCCCCTCCTTGATTTTCCTATCTTTCACAAAGTTTAAAGGCTGCCACGTGCCTCCTGTGATACACAGCCACACACATGTAGGCACAGCCACCCCCAGTACCACCTGTTTGCTGGCCAACTGGAAGTCACATCAGACTGGTGATGGGGTGATGTGGATATGGAGGTGACCCCACAGGGTGCTGGCAGCCTTAGGGGTCCAAACTGTACCCCCCAAGGCTGTGCTGGCCCTGGGAACCCCCCCCTGCAGCCATTCCCTTTGGAGGCACACACTTCCAGTGGAGGTCCCAGTGCTGCCCCAGCCCCTCCTGGGGACAGAGAAGGGACACAAACCCTCTGCACTGAGGACAAGGACCACTGCCTGGAGACACAGAGCTCAGGAAAAAGCTTACACAACACTTTTCCCTTCCAGAAACAAGGAGCAGAGCTGGCAGTGACCCCGGATGCCTCCGCAGCACCGATGAAAAGCAGAGCAACCACCTCCCCCACCGGCTGCTCTCTGAACCCAGCTCTGCCCTTCGCCCCTCCCTGCACGGGATTTGGGGGGACAAAGTCCCAGCTGAGGGGTCCTGCAGCCCCCAGAGCACCCGGTGCACACAGGGGCTGTCTGTGCCTAAAACCAGCAGAGCAGGAAGATTTGGCACCTTCAAATCCAGCCCTGCCAGGACTTTGTTTGCCTCCAAGCAGGAACCAGAGGATCCGGGACCTTGCCCCTTCCCTGCATGTTGGCCCCTGCAGGGTCTTGTTTTCTCAGTGCTTTTATCGAGCAGCACTTCCCAGCTATCGGGGCTCATCACCCAACAGCCAAGTTGACTAATTCAAGGCAAAAATCAGCCAAAACACACAGCACAGCACGTGGGTCAGCCGGGCAGGGGGGCTGCCCAGCTCCATGCACCCCCTCCCCGAGCACCATCCAGCCAAACATCACAGCCACAAAACACAATCCCTGAGCAAACCTCATCTCCCTCCTGGTGATGGGGGGGCTCACTCTGTGTCCAAACCCTTCCCCCAGCCCTGAGCAGACCCAGGCACTCACTCCTGCAGACCCAGGCACTCACTCCTGCCCCCCCCCCCGAGGCTCCAGGGCAGGGCAGTGTTGTCTTTGGGGAGAAAAGGGACTTCAGTGCCAGCAGGGCCAGGCTGTGCAGCCCAGGGAGGAAGAAAATGTGGGGGAGGCATCTGCAGCATCACCACAGCCCAGCCAGATCCTGCTCATGTGCAAAACACACACACACACCAGTGAGTCACCAGCACCACCACGCCAACCACCATCACCAGACCCCACTGCGGTGGGACGCTGTGCTGTGTCCCCCATCCAGCCCCAACGACCCCCACGGCACCCCTCTGCCCTCCCACCCCAGAGGAAGAACCACCCGCAGGGTTTTTAAAAGGCTGCTCGACTTTATTAGTTGCCATTGTACAAGTACAAGGTAAATAAAACGTGTTACCGAGTCCGCGTGGAAAGAGCATTAAGAAAAGAGTAAAAAGGCTGGTGTAGGAATCATCAGGGGGGGGTTTGCTGCGCTTTTTTGTTGATCACCAAGCAGCACCTTTGCTTCAGAGCAACCTTTGCCTACTCTACGGGGTGGGGAGGGGGAGAGGGAAGGGGCTGTGCCCGCCGGTTTGGGGACCAGCAGCCCACCCGCTCATGCCGAGGGCCCGGAGCTGGGCTCGCTGGCGTGGCGTCGCCGGCCCCCTCCTGGGACTGGCACCAAGGCACACGCCATGGGTCCTGCTGTCACCCGCAGAGCTCCCAAGCTGCAAGAGAGAGCAGAGAAAAGGGTCAGGCCAACGCCGAGGTGACACGTCGTCACCTTGCATTTATTTTTGCAATAGAAAAGCGGGTGCGCCCTGGGTACTGAGATGTCACCATTGGGTCAGGAGGCACCTTGAGGGACACAGCAGGGATGTCCCCCCACCGTGCCGCACTGGCAATGCCCTCCATCATCACATCCAAGGAAAGCACTCACCTCTCCGGGGACTCCGACACAGTTGTCATGGCCATGGGAGCAGTCTTCCCGAAGAAGAAGCTGGCCCACCAGTGGCCGGGGTCGGATTTGGGCAGACCTGGGGGACAGCACGTGCCAGGGAAGGTCCAGGTCAGTGCAGCCTGGGCAGCACCACTACCAGCCCAGTCTCATCCCACAGGAGATGCTGGGTCATCTCCAGTAAGACCTGCACTGGAGAGGCTGGCAGCAGAATCCCCGTGTGGCCCCAAGCCAGGATGGGTGGCACTTACCCGGGGGGTGGGGGATGACCTCCCCAGAGTACTCCGAGCTGCCGCAGGAGCTGTTGCTGGACGTGGAGCTCAGACGCCCTGTGGAGAAATCACAGCCATCAGAGCTACCACTGGTCCCCAGTGACACCATGAAAAGCAGAGCACGGCCTTGATGTGGCCATCCGGGGGGTGACACAGCTCAGTCTCATCACTATCTCACCCCAGTTCTTGCCCAGCTTCAGTGCCAAGCCAATAAAAACCACTAGGAAGGAAATTATACTGGCAAAGTTACAAGCTGGCCAAGAGCAGGCAGCCAAAAAGCACCTGAACCCCTCATCAGGAAAAGACTTGCAACCCCAAGGACATTATTTAATGGTTTTGCATCCGCATGCAACACTTGGGAGGCCTTTGCAGATGACTTGAGGCCAAGAAGATGCAGATTCCTGCATATAATCCCCACAGTTTTAGTCCAACTGCTACAATCCTGTTCCTAATTCCAGCTCAAGGGGAATACTGTAATTCCCTCTGGTTTAGGCAATCCATTAAACCACAAAGCCTCTCCCCTGGAGAGCTACCGGTGCCTGCCATTGCCCAGACTGGTTTTGCAGCTTATTTCCACCAACAACAGTGCAAGAAGCATTTGAAGCCGTCACCTCCCCTCACCTTAACAAGAAGTCAAGGAGTTTGCAAGACCCATCTCCAGCTGGTACAAACTGGGCTGGGGTAACCCCAAGGAGGGTGCGAGCAGGAGGGATGGCTGCTGGTTGCCTTCCTCCATCAGCAAGGAGCCTTCCACCCCTCCTTGAGGAGCTTCATCTCTGTCAGAGCCACATCCCCTCGAGCTGGCAGGGTGTCCTGCCCCTTGCCAACCCCCCCGAGCACCCCCCCAGCCCCCAGCACGCCCTTACTTCTGCGGTAGTTGTGTGTCGCCATGAGCGAGCCGCTGGATGGGATGGATGCCATGGTTCTCGATCTTGGTTCTTGTGCAGATCTAAAAACCTGCCAGCAAAAAAACCCCAAAACAAACGGGGACAGTCGTCATTACAGGGGGGGGTCTCAGCACAGCCCCCACAGCCCCCCACCCACCCTGGGACCACCCTGCACCCACACAAGAGAGCTGCAAGAGTTTTAATGTGATTTTTCAGGAGATTTGGCACACACACCTCCCTGGGGGTGCGTGTTGGGGGGGGCAGTGCCCGTGGTGCTACACATGGTTTAAATCCCTAGCTCAGCCCTACGTGCAAAGCCCAAATAATTCCTTGGGAAACATCCAGGAAGGATGCAAAGGCCTGGAAAATCCCCGCAGCCCCTTCCCCGGGTGCTGTGCTTCCTCCCCCAAAATCGCCTTCCTCTTTCTGCGGAAGAGTTTCGACATCCCCGGCAGAGATTGCAGGGACACTCACCAGCACAAACTACAGTCCCTGGGCCCGCAGGAGGACACCGAGCCCCCCCCCGCCACCCGGACGAACAGCAAAAGCACCGACCCCAGCTCCGAGCAGGGTGCGGGGGGAGGCACCCAGAGCCCCGGGACCACCCCCCACCACCCTCCGGGCACCCAGCTCCTCCCCAGCTGCTGCTGAGGCCTTCCCTGGTCTTTGGGAGTCCTGCTGCAGAATGCCCTCCACGCACCCACGGCCCCATTAACACAATAACCCACAGTGGGGAAACTGAGGCACGGAGCCGCCTCTCACAAGTTTCACCCTAAAAAGGTAAAACTCGATGCAGCCTTGCAGTGGAGCCTTTCCAAAACAATCCCCCCCTCCCCGCTCCCAAAACGCTACAAGGAGCCCCAATTCCCGCCCCCCAACACTCCTGGTCGCAGCGCACCTGGGCTGGGCGGCGGTGAGGTCCGGCGGGCGGGCACTAGGGCCGCGGGGAGGAGGAGGAAGAGGGGGGGGCGGAGGCCCCGCCCGGGAGAACGCAGCGACCGCGCTCGCTCCGCACCGCACGGCCTGAGCCGCGGTGCTGCCGGCCCCGCCCCCGGCCCCGCCATTATATACCCTCTGGCCACGCCCCCTCCATCCCTTCCGCCAATCGGCGTGCGGGGAGGGCGGCAGACCACGCCTCCTTTTCCCCCGGGAGGCGGGGCGGCGGGTGCGCAGCGCCGAGCGCCGGTGGGGGGGGGCGGTTCAGCCCTTCAGAGGGGGTTTAAATTAATGTATAAATGTATTAATTGATAAATATCGATGTGGAGGGATTGCGAGCTGTCTGGGTGGTATCAAATTAGGGGGGAGAAGACTTTATTTTAGAGAAAAAAGCCTGCAGCGAGACTTGGGTACAACCCACAGCGAAATATGGCTCTATATTTTACATATTGCTATAACCCACTGGATAGATGCTGGTATAGAAATGACCGGTATCGCAGGGTGTGAGTGCTGGAGAGCCACGGCAGTGCCAGACATACAGAAGAGGTGAACAGAAACTTTACAGAAAATTCCTTCCTGCGGGGAAGCCTACAGGAAGGCTGGGGAGAGCCTGTTTAGAAAGGCCTGCAGTGACAGAACGAGGGGCAATGGCTTCAAGCTGGAGGGGAACAGATTTAAATTGGAGATTAGGAGAGGGTTCTTCACTGTGAGGGTGGTGGAGCACTGGAAGAGGTTGCCCAGGGAGGTGGTTGAGGCCCCTTCCCTGGAGATATTCAAGGAGAGGCTCGACGAGGCCCTGGGCAACCTGGTCTAGTTGGGGGTGTCCCTGCTGACTGGGGGTCGTCGGACTAGATGGCCTTTGGAGGTCCCTTCCGGCAGGGAATGGAAATGCAGCCGAAAAAACAAAGTGACCCCCCTTTAAGTGTCAAAACAGCACTCAGAGCATCATGGTATTTCTACAAAGGCAGGCTGATATCTGCATTAGATAAAACATTATTTATTCATTCTCGCCCCCCAAATCAGGAATGCTTTAGCCTATGATTCTATGAAATGCAGCCGAAAATACAAAGTGACCCCCCTTTAAGTGTCAAAACTGCACTCAGAGCATCATGGTATTTCTACAAAGGCAGGCTGATATCTGCATTAGATAAAACATTATTTATTCATTCTCGCCCCCCAAATCAGGAATGCTTTAGGGCAGAGTGCTTTGGCCCAGCACACTTGGGGTTCGCAATAAAATCTCACAGTTTGAGCCCAGCTGTGGGAAACAGCATTTTTGTGGGACGATGCTGTAGCCACTTCCATAGAATCACAGAATCATAGAATGGTTTAGGTTGGAAAGGACCTTAAAGATCCTCTAGTTGAGGCCATTTTAGGCTAAAGACAGGAGCCAGGAGGGAGCTCATATCCCAGCCTTCGGTTCTGGCACAAGCTCTTGGAGCAGCGGGGTTCATTCCGCCCCCGGTCTGTGATTTTGGTTATTAAGCCAGAGTTACTCATTAAGTGCCAGTTCCAGGAGAGGCAGCGCTGGGTTGCTCCAGGACATCGATGTCCCCGCACAGCTCCTGGGGCTGCAAAAGGGCCGAGCTGCCCTTGAGGCTGTGTTGCCCCCCAACCCCAGCATGGGGACACTCTGGGGGACCCGTGTCCCCAGTTCCCCCCGCCTGGGCCATGGCACCAGGGCAATACTCCTGCCACCACCCCTGGGACAGACGCCTTCCCCCGTGCACAGCCCGTGTGGCTGCTCCCAGGAAATCAGCCAGGACAGCTTCGAGGAAAGCCTTGGCACCACGAGGCCCTAAATAAATTGTTTGTTTACCCCAGAGGTTAATAAACCTCAAATAAAAACAGTTAATTGTTTTGTTTACCCCAGAGGTTTAAGGACACACACAGGAGCATGCGTGATCCAGCTCGGGATTGAGTTGCCCCAGCTGTGCCTCAGTTTCCCCACTGGTGATGCTGATGCAGCTCTTTCCAGGGCAGGACTTGGCAAAAGGCTGTGATGGACTTTGAATATACAAATTCCAACGGGCAGTTTAACCCACCACGTGGTTGTTTTCATGCCCAGCATTCAGCTTTGCTTTTGTGCCTCATGATCAGGTTTGATCAGTGGTTTGATTTTGGCCAGTCCTGCTGGGACCATTCACTCCCAGCCCCAGGGCTGGATGCAAAGCATGAAGAGCCCCAGGGCATGAGCTCAGGAGATTTTTCTGGCCCAGAAGGGAAAGAGAAAGGCGAAAAATTGGGTGCTTCAGAGCTGAAAAATTACTTTTGTTTTAGTGAAGCTGTGTCAATTCTCAGGTTCCTCCCCAAACCCTTCCTAAGAGATGTCTCTCTACCCTAAATCCCTCTAATAATCTACAGTATATCGATAGAGAGATTATATTTCATAATGGAGTATATTCTTCCTAGGGGGTGCAGGATGGCTTTGTACCCCACCAAGCCTGTGTGGGCTAATTGCTTTAATTAATGACAGAGCAGAGATGAACAAACACATCCTAATCCCTTTGTGCAGCAACACCACTGACACCCACCTTTGGGGCTGCTTTTTGAAGGATCAGCTCATTAAGCAGAGAGCACCGGGGGCTGCCCCCATGGCAGTGGGGGGTGAATTGGGAGATGGGGCTCCTCGTGCGGATGAATTAGCCTCCAGCAAAACCTTCTTCCTCTCCTTTTCACCCCAAATCCAAATCCATTTCACCTTAATGATGCAGCGGGAGCAGCGCCAGTGGAATGGAGCAGCCAGAGGGGGATTGATGGAGCATCCAGCCTGGTTTCCCAGGACAAAGCCTGTCCTAGAAGTGTTGAGGAGAGGAAGATAAATTTCATTTGTATTGATCAAAAATCAGTTGTTAAAAGGAAGCAAATGACAAGATTTGGATAGATTTTCTCTTAGATTTTCCTCTAATTAGAACTTCTGAGTTGACTGCAACTGTCCTTACAGTTTGTTTTTGAGCAAGGTTTCCTTTTTTTCCTTTTCTTTCTTTCCTTTTCTTTTTTTTTTTTTTTTTTAAATCTGACTCTCTGAGCTCAATCTTGCGGCTGGGAACCGGCTTTTTTTGTGTGTGCCACTGGGAAATAGCCTTTCTTGTCACACTTTATACTCGGCAGAAACAGCTGGAAGGTGGCAAAGGCTGCGGAGACGAAGAAGCTGCTGCCTCTGGGTTCCACCAGCACTTGTGGGACATCACCCATGGGTGATGGGGGACAATGGGGCACCCCAGTGCCCGGCCAATGAGGCTTAATGCTCTGGAGACGTGACATCCCAGTGGCTTCAGGGATTTGGTCAATGGTGAGAAAGTTGCCCAGAAGCCCCTTCCCCACCACCCTGCGCCGCAGCAATTCCCCCCACCAGCACAGCAGAAATGCAGATTTATAGTGCTGCAGGGCCTGATCCTGCTCCACTAAGGATTCTGTTTCATTCTCCCTCTGCTGAGGACCATTTAATGTTGAGGAGGGAGCAAGCACGACCTGTGTTCAGGCTCTGTCCTCCTCCTCCTCCTCCTCCTCCTGGGCTGCATTTTCCCTGTTGCTCAGTGCCAGGTTTGGGATCCAGGCAGTGTCCTCTCAGAGCAGGCAGCTGCTGCCACCTATGGATAAAAAATAGCCAAAATGTCCACCCCAGACACTACACGAGGGCCATCCCTCCTCTCTGCCCTTTGCAGCCTCACAGAGGTCAGAATAAGAGTGGCTGAGAACACAAACCCATGGTTGCACCGTGGGCCAACACGTCTTCTCCTGCCTGCACGTGTTTAAATCAGAAAAAAAAAGGATATCCTGGAAATGCAAGGGGAGACTTTCCTTAAGTACAACACTTGAGTAACATATTTTACCTGTCGGATGGAAATTGTGTTCTGCCTTTCTGGGATATAAACAGTAAAGTGACCCAAGTGTCCCCTTGGCAGGAGAATAAATCAAAGTCAGATCAAGGCAGGCACCACTGTCCCCACGGTGATGGGAGCAGCTCTGCTGCCTTCACCTCCAGTTTGTGCCAAGGGGTGCAGGCATCATTCAGGGCTGACTTCCCAAAAGGCTCAGGGAATTGGCATCAGGGCATCTGAGTCTGATCTGCAAATACGCACCTTGTGGAGAGAATTAGGTAGAAAGTCACAAACGGCCTGATTTGCCCCATGCAAAAGGGATGTCTCCAATCCGGAAAAAAGCAGTGAAGAAAGCTGACTGCTGCTTGCTGTAATCCAGAGGCTTTAGGTGAACTTCATGCCAAGAGTTCCTGACTCTTGGCTTATCTATTCCTCTGGGAAAACTGGAAAAGCATCTTTCAGAAACTCAGAGCAGGATCCACCTCTCTACAGAAAACTCTCAGACCAGCATCTCCTTCGTGGGAGCGGGGGAGATTTCCCTGCCATTGTATGCAAACAAATTCCTCGCTAATATAAATCCTCGGGCTTTAATGGTTGTCGGTTCAGCAACAAATTTTCTCATTAAGTTCCCTGATCCTTATTTTTCCCTCTGGATGCACCCAAAGCCTGTGCTGTTAGCCAGGTGTCTCCATTAGCAGTCCTTCAACTGAAGCGATCAGAAGATATGGGCAGCCAGGGCTCTTTCCGCTCGGTGGCCATGGTTTAATAAGAAAAGCCACCCCCAGGATTAGTGCAGGCTTTTCCTAACTCGGAGATGTGCCTGGCTGCCAAAACAAACACATCAAGCTGTTGTAGCTTGATACGGCACCAGACGCCCTTGCTGTAAAACCCGTGTGGTCCAGGAGCCACCCAGCATCCCCCAAACGGCGTTAAAGCAGAGGGCAGAGGTGTCTTATCTCACCTGGACTTGACCTAGATCAGGATCCGTGCCCCTCCTCGGCACACGGGGAGATTTACAGGATCAGCTTCTCGCAGCCCCCGCAGATGCTACATCCAGGCATCGGAAATATCAGGGTGTCCCTCATGAGGTGCATTTGAAGTGGTGTTTTTCTCCTCCCCTGGTGTTAAAAAAGATTTCAGAGCATGGAAATGTTCATCCCAGCTGCATCCCAGGTAGATAACAGCTCAGATTGAGCAGTTTTATCCTCTGCAGCCTCTTCTCTGCCAGTGGCATCTCGGAGAGCTGGAAGAAATAGAGTAGCAATATTAAAATGACAGTGGGGAGGGTGAGGAGTTAAAATCTGCAGAGGAAATCCAAGTTTAGGTGGGGAGCTGCTGCGTTTGCCCTGGGGATGTGCACCCAAAGGTGTCTTATAAACCCCTGGGGTGCTGCTGAGCTCAGAGGGGTGGGATGGGGGAGCAGCTGCAGGAAAAGCTGCATCCCAGTGGATGAGTTTCTGATAATTTTATCCCTGAGACCACCACCGCTCTCTCAACCTGGTGGGATTTGGGGCAAGAAGCCTGCAAGCTGCTTGCTGGGGATGTAGAGGCACGGGGGGGTTATGTCTGTGTTGTGATTTCTTAAGGAAAGGGATTAAAAATCAGCCCAGGCTGATCTCCGTACCGGCACCTACCGAGCCCGGCTGGAGGGTGAAAGGTGGTGGACGGGTCCCTGGGCTGCGTGGGGCTCCTGGAGCATCAGGGATTTATGCCACACGCAGAGATTTTGCTCACCTGCATCGTTGCACCAGGATTCACAGCTTAAGGTGCCACCGACGGGGTCAGGGAACGCAGCCGGGGGGTGACCCGATCTCCCTCCCCCTCCCCACACTGTCCCCGATGACCCCGGCGCCTGGCACCCTGGGGACAGCTCTGCAATCCTTCCCAGCCCCAATGCGAAGCCTTAGTGACATCCGCCTCTCAAACGTGGTATTTTAATAAAGGGTAGAGGGTCATTAAGGCCACTGAGTTACCACCCGTGACTGCGTGATGTCTGGCTGTTATTAAAAAGTGTTTAAGATGAGAAGCCCTTGTGCTGGGCTTCCAGATGAACCTGGGCACCAGGAGCCGATGGCTATAGAGACTTTCCATGGCAGAACTGAATTTTAGGGGTAGATACCCACAAATGGCAGTGATGGGCTGTGGCTGCCCTTGGCTGGAGGGATTTCTTGGTCTTGATGCCTTCACTCAGCCATTTGGTGGAAAAGAGAATTCTGGAGGAGCATCCCCATGGCATGCCTGGACCCACGTGCTACCTCCCACACCCAGGATGGATGGGGACAATTGTAAAGGCATTGTCCCTCCACCATTGCTACCTTGGATCTACCCCACCTTGGTGCACTGGGGCACCTGGTGGCTGTGACTACCCCGAAACCCTGGGGAACAGGTCCCAGCGGTGTGAGAACGATGGTGGGTCCTTGGGTGCAGCCCACCCTGCACAAGATACACCTCTTGCCCCATCAGAGGTGACACCAGACACCATCCCCAGCTGGCTGGGTGGCTGGAGGGCTTGGGCATCTTGTTATCACTTCCAAAGTTTATTTTTAAACCTCTGGCTCCAATTTAAAGGCATCAGCAGCATGTGCTGACTTCAGGACCTCAAAATACTCCCCTTCTCCTCCTTCCCCTGCCTTTCTGTCCCATCATTTCTGTCTTCGTCTCCCCCCTCCAGGTCTACAGCATGAGAACAGGCTGAAAAACCTGCTCACATTAAAAGTTTCATGAAATCTTCTTCTGTTTGGTGCCTTGGGCTGGGAGTGCTGCCAGGCAAGCACACAGAGAGAGGCATGACACGTCAACACGGGGGCCTGGAAAGGTTGACCTCAAAGCCAACCCCACATAAACATGCTCTAGAAACCTCTGGGAGATGCAGCAGGGAATCCCATCACATCTTAACCCCAGTTAAACTGAGGTTTAACTGAAATGGGAATGCAGTGAGGATGGTGAGACACTGGCCCAGGTTGCCCAGAGAAGCTGTGGCTGCCCCATCCCTGGAGGGGTTGAAGACCAGGCTGGATGGGGCTTTGGGCAACCTGATCTGGTGGGAGGTGTCCCTGCCCATGGCAGGGGGTTGGAACTGGATGATCTTTCAGGTCCCTTCCAACCCAAACCATTCGATGATTCTATGTGCAGGATTCCATGGAATGCATGTTGTATGGATGAGGAGAAGATGGCCAATGTCTTGGTGTTTTCAGCTTGTGCACTTCCAGCAGATGGTAAATGCCAAAACATCTGGGTGCAGAGACTCTGCAAAGCCTCCAAAATGGGTGTGGAAGGAGCTGAAAGCCTGAGCATGGGAAGAAGGAAACCTAAGAGCATTAACCCCTTCCATAAAGCTGCCCTTGTGAGGACAACTGCTGCCCTACACACCTCTGAACTGATTTTCCGATGGCTGTTGCATGAGGCCAGCATATGACCCTGCATTTCTGCTACTCAGGAAAATATCTCTATTGTTTGCCCATGAAACAGGAAAAAAATAAGGATTTATAGCCATTCCTGCATCCAGAGCCTGCATTTCTGCTATTCAGGGAAAATATCTCTATTGTTTGCCCATGAAGAAGGAAGAAAATAAGGATTTATAGCCATTCCTGCATCCAGCTCTGCTTTTTCCCCAGTGAGGGCAGGGCTTCTGGCATGACATCAGGGCAGGCGTCCCTTGTGGCTGCTGGATGCTCTGCCCAAACCCCTGCCTTCAAAGGAGACCTGATGCGTTTTATGGAGACAAAACCAGAAGCTCTCAGTGAGCTGAATGTGCTACTCACGGGAAGAAACACCCCCCGTCCCAGCTTTTCCCCAGTGAGGGCAGGGCTTTTGGCATGACATCAGGGCAGGCGTCCCTTGGGCTGCTGGATGCTCTGCCCAAACCCCTGCCTTCAAAGGAGACCTGATGCGTTTTATGGAGACAAAACCAGAAGCTCTCAGTGAGCTGAATGTGCTACTCACGGGAAGAAACACCCCCCGTGTGAAGACAAATCCAGGCAGGCAGCCTGGGGTGTTTGCATCCCAGATACATACAAATTACCGGCACTGCAGATTATTCACTCTCCCAGTCACACCGTGCAGGGCCTCTTTGGTAAAAAAAAACAACCAAACACCAAAAATCCCAATTATTATGGCTGGGCAAGTGGGAATTTTAGCACGGCTTAAAAAGCATCAGATCCTAACCCAGGGGCTGCGGGGCTGGATGGGGTCAACATGATGGTGAAAGGGGTAAGAGGTACCTGCCATGCATGTGTGCAGCCTGCCTGCCCCTTTGGGGTGGTTTACGCTTTCTTGAGTGACCCCAAATCATTTGGTGGTGTTTTTTGGGGGTGGGGGAATCATGCCTAAATAGGATGTAGAGGAATTATGTCAGCTGGGACCTGAATCTGAAGCCAGATGGATGGAGACGAGGTGCTAAACTTCAGATTTTGCCTGCTCAGGTCTCTTGAATTCTACATAGCTGAACATTTAAGGACAGATTGTCACTGTTTTCCAGGAGGGAAAACAGTTTTAATTGGGTGTGACAATCGAGCTTGATGGTCCATGGGGACCACACATGTTCAGTGAACCCCTTTTCTCCAGCCAGACCTGGGCACACAGCTGTGGCTTTAAGCTCCTCGGAGGCTGGGTGTAAGGTGGCTTAACCCAGCCAGGATTAGCCAGGTCCAACAGCCCTCTCTTCTCCTCGTGTCCCATACTATTTATAGTCCTGTGGCCACTTCGTTTTGTTGTATCAGTAAAGCACAGTGCACTCATTTCTATCTTCCCTGCCTGGGAAAGGAGTGAAAATTCAAATCATTGTTACTGGAGAAGGAAGGGAGGGAGAAGAGCTCCATCACACACTGCCCTGGGCCAAGTAGCAGAGGGACCTGGGATTTACTCCATCTCCACAAAGGCTGAAGCCTTCACTAGCTCCCAGGCTGCCTGCAGCCCTTGTATAAAAAGGGGAGATTATTTTCTGGCAAAGCCCTAAAATACGGATAGGAAGAAGAAGGGATTTATATCCCCATCCCTCCGACATGTTATCATGTTTGATGTCCATCCCCAGCCCATCTAGACCCGGGTTATCTCTACTGCTCCTACCCCGAAACAAGGCTGGGTCAATCCCTTTAAGTGCTGGCTTGGAGCCTTCCTCTTGGAAGTTTCTTTTTATTTTCTCTGGCACTCAGGGATTTTATGTTGCGCAAGGAATGCTGCATAAAAGATATCTTTGCTATCATATTTCTAAGAAAATAACAGTGAACTATAACATTCATTAAAAAATAAAGTCTCTCTTTAATCCTTAATACCAATGAACTATAACATTCATAAAAAAAATAAAGTCTCTCTTTAATCCTTAATGTGAGTTTAGTAACATTTTAATCTACATGATGTGTAAGTTTTTAACCCTTAGACTATGAAGGCAAGAGTACCTCCATGAGAGTACCTAAGAATACCTGATTTAGCTGTTGTGAGGTTAGTAACATTTTAATCTACATGATGTGTAAGTTTTTAACCCTTAGACTATGAAGGCAAGAGTACCTCCATGAGAGTACCTAAGAATACCTGATTTAGCTGTTACATTTACTGGAAGGATGATCTGGGCCGTAGAATTGGCCTGAAATATTACATAGCTTAATTCAAAATTAGCTTTCTTTTGACCTATATTTGGCTTTGGGACACAGAAAAATTTGCATTAGCCTTGTAATTGCACAGCTAGCACAGGTATAAATATTCTGACCACTACATTACTTTTTTTTTTTTTTTTAAGGCAAAGAAAGTTTCATGGTATTACCGTAGGAAATTAGTTATGGTTTCCTTGTCCCTCTAGGATTTGAATCCCATTTCCTGTTAAATGAGGTGATGTTAATAAACCACAGATTCTTGAGCAGGCAACATACGTGTTGCAGGTGCAGAAATCTCTTTTGCTCTATTTGTCCCCTGCGTTGCTGTTTGCTCCTGGGCTAATGCTTTTCCAGTGAGGCAGAAATGTGGGTCAGTGCCCGTGGGGCTCTGCCCCGGGGGGTGTTTGCCCCCTTTGAGGTGCAGAGACCCCCCTCCTCCCCACACGTGTGGGAAGCAGCTCTTCTGCATCACCGGCCTCTCTGCAGACTGAGCAAGGGCTGTGGTACTTGGTGGCCCTGGGCTCCTGTCCCATCCCAGCCCTGTCCCTTCACCCTCAGGTTGCCAAGGGGAACCCATGGGGGTCCAAGCCCCACTTTGCCTCCATCTACACCACTCCCCTGGACCAGGATTTCCATCATTTCCCCTCTCTTCCAAAAGAAGATCCCATCTCCCACTATCTCTCCATCTTTCTCCCACCCTTCTATTTCTAATCTCTCCTCCTCCCCATCCTTCCATCTCCATCTCATTCCTTCAT